GAAAATCAAAAAGGCAACTGAAAATTTGATTATACTGTCAGCTTCATGTGCATAATCCAGACACTGTATCAGGTTTTCTTATGGAATTTAGTGCATCAACCATTTTGCACAAGGGAGAAAATCTCCAGCCTATTACAAAAATGCAATTGTGGTCATTAAGGTTTCAATAGTGAGTTGTCATATGCCTACAGTCGCTGCAGCCCAAAAAATTAAAGCTGTGTCGTGATTGCTTAGACGCATGTCACACACTAATGTAGTGTGTCATGTAGGAGTGATAGCAGTATCTATGAAGCGTCACATCCTGTTTTAGACAGGGCTGTGTCAAAAACACCCCACTGACAGTTTAAAATGACAGGGCGACAGCCACAGTGGGAGGGGGGGTTTGAGGATCGCAACAAAAATAGAGAACTCTCTCTCGTACACAGCTCTGGCTGCTCACTCTGTCTGACTGACTGGGCCCATTTCTCAGGGGCAGCCACTGTGTTCACAGCATAGGACATCTGTAGTTTCCATAGATGTTTTGTAATGTATCTTTGAATAGGAGGAGAGGAAAAAGCCAATTTCATTTTAATAAAATCAATTTTAGTTTAAATGGGCAGCACAGAAAAAGTTTAAATTAAGAAGACATGAGGATTGTTTTTAACTCTGGATCTTCTGCGCTCACCTCATAGAGGAAGGTGTCTTTTTCACAACTGCTCACACAGAATAATAGGATTACACAATCCATTTTAGTATAAAGGAAAGAGAATATTAAAATTACAGTCACATTAGCTGTTACCCATAATACTGCATGTTAGGGCTGCAATTTGGACAGTAGAACTTTCTCATGTGGCAGGTACAGTTCAATTCTGATTTGTATTGCAACTGAATATTTATCATCCAAGTCCAAACAACAGACCCACACCTTGCTTTGCCCTACAGGGTTTTGCAGCCTGTCCATTGCAGTAGAAGAACAACCTTGCCGACGGACAGGCCTCACACTCAACCCTGTCACTTCAGCTAATGCACTGAGAAGGGGATTCATTTGAGGATTTCAAGAAATACAATGTCAAAGAAGGACTTTCTCTGAAACAGTAAAAATAAAATACCAATCATTCAAACAAGTCAGAACAAGGAAATAGAAAATACTGTGATCATTATAAAAAAAATATTCTGGGCTCCTAATTTTTACAACTGCTGATCTAGAAGACAGAAAATCAACAGGGAGAAGTGAGAGAAGGGAAAAGATGGAGGCTGGAAGTGTGTTTAAATTTAGAGGACAAGAGGAGAGACAGGTAGAGTCGAACAGTCACTGGTTTGTTGGCAGGTTGCTGGTGGATTTAGGTTGTTTACCTTCCATCTACTGTTCTCACCTCACGGAGAATACTGCCATCTCTAGAACTGCTCACCCAGAAGAATATGATTAAATATTTCTCTACTTCTGGCTGTTTTACACACTTCTAATAAAACACACGCACACACAAACACACACCAACCCACGCACAATCACAGTTTCCCTGTCTCTGTCACACACAAACCAAGGCATACAGACCCCCACTCTTTCTCACTCACACACCCGCATACACTTGTCATTCCCTATGACATCCCCAGCCTCCATTACCTGCATACATTAACAGACCTCTCTGATGTTAAAAATTATCCATTCATACATTTGAATAATTCAGATTATTTTAAAAGCTGTGCACTCACTCACTTTTTCTTTTTTTCCAGATGGAAAGAGAGCTATTTACCTCAAATCGCATTTGAATAAATCCCATAAATCCTTTCAAAGTTCCCTCAGATAAACCAATCAAATACCCCCGATGCGGGCTGACTGCCCAATCGAAATTAGCATTCATACTTGCAGCTTTTTCTACTATTATTATTCAAAAGACATCAAATAGCAAATCAAATTTCAGTGGGGCCCAATTTGTCTGAGATAAGAAAAAGGTGACTCAGAATGAGGGAGAAACAGGGGCACTGCTGCACTGCCATAAAGTAATTCTAAACCCAACAAAAATATTTGACAGAGTAAACAGCGTCCCTTTGCTTCATAAATGTGGCAGATGATTCTATTTGTTCAACAAAAGAGACACATATTATATGTGACAGGCAAAAAAATATATTAGATGGCCTCTTCCCAATTATTCCTGAGATGAAACTGGCTTATCACACTCGCCAGCGAGTGTGTGTGTCTGTGTGTGAGACACACAACGATAACATGGTCAACAAGCATACAACAACCAAACTCGGTTGGAAAACAGTGAGTCTTACTGTGGGCATTGGCCTTTAAATATGTATGTATTTTGTTTACGTGAGATGATAAGAGTTGCAAGGAGTGGGATGCAAAAAAAATGAGTGTCAGAAGACGATCGTCGACACCTTCAACAACGAGGGTAAGCAATAGAATTTCAAATTTTTTTAAGATGCACCAAAACATGTGAGTGCAAGATGTAGACATATGAAGAGCTCAGTCTGAAGGGAGAATAAATGTTACACAGGTTCACTGACAGTAAAACTGAAAGATTCTGGCTGCATCCACCGCAGAGAACAGCGGAGAGACAGTGAAACCTCGTCTGTCTCCTCTCTCGTTACCCATCTCTGTCTCCATCTCATTCCAACTGTGTGTAAATCATGACAGGCGGTAACCTCCAGCTTCCTCTTTCTCTGTTTTGAAAACAACCGTCTGTGACACTCATGCTTCCTGTGTTTTAACGAATTACGAACGCACGTATGTGACCTCCAAACTGAACTTTCTGCTTTACGACTCATCACTGTGTTTGTTATGTGTTTGCTTGAGCATGTGTTGGTTTTGTAACTTGTTAACTTATTTATTAAGTTATTCATTTGTTCATTAAGGCTGTGGCTAAGTTGGATGAGTTTTTTTTGACAACTTTTTAACAAGCAGCACCCCAGGGTAAATATTTACATTACAGGTATAGTAATAAAAGTAATATGAGGCACAAAACAAACTTCTTGTCAGTAGGTTTTACACATAGAACTTCTCTCAAACAAGTTTAAAGGGCAGGTGTATCTTTACCCTGCACTGTCACCCACAGCTCGCTCTCTCTCTCTGATACACACACTCATACACACACACACACACACACACACACAGACACACAGATCTAAGTTCAAGCAGCTGGTGAGTTTGCCCTTCACTGCCCACCCCCGGGCACTGCAGTGGTATGGATGCAGCTGTTTTAAAGAGTTCTGGAAGGGATTTAGAAAAAGCCATGTCCTTGTCAAGGGTATATTCTCACTTTTTATTAGCCTGATGTAAACTGAAGTGGTCCTCAGCCCAACAATAGTGCTCAGTTAAAAATTCCAGACACCCTAACCCTTGGCAGCGTGGCTGAGTTGTAAAATACTGTCCAGCATCTTTACAACTCTAGACTTCAGGTTCATGTTTCAGTTTCGTACTGATACCTGTATCAACACATCCACAGCCGACTGTGTATTTTGGACACAGTGATGTTGTCAGTTTGCAAACAGCCTTAGGCCAGAGTAAAAACAACATGGTGTTCTGGAGTCCTGCAAATCACGACTCTTAAGTAGTGTGCATTTCTGTGCCAACATTAATCTGACGACAACTCAATCCCACTGCCTCAGAGCATTGCCCTCAACAGTAAAAAGGGGTCTGTTGTTTAAACAGTAATGTGAATTTACTGCTTTAAAGTCAGCCATTAAAAAGGTTCCTAAAGCACTGGGTTGTACCAACAAGTGTGGATGATGCACTGGGAGTAAGATGTAGCTGAGTCTTTAATCAAATGGGATAATTGCACTGATGCAGGCATGTTGATAGAACATTGTTAGAGAAGATAAATGTCTGTAGCAGAGAGCTTAGTATCACCATGAACAATGAGACGTTCAGAAGAAGCAGAGAGAGGAACTGTTCTATGATAAGTAGCACATTTGTGTCCTTTAAGCTTTTTATCTGCATTATCACTGTTAACTAGCATTCAAGTTGCAAAATGAATCATTTATCCAACTAATCTGTGAGATTATCTGACATAAATGTGTCTAAATGCAATGAGGGAAAAAAGATGGGATTTGATCATATTTAAAACAAGCTTCTTCTAAAACATTCATGGTCAAATTCTCAGGTTGACCGACATTTAAATCATGTGTATGAGCAATGAAATGTTAATGGGATGAGACAATTGACCTGAGGTTGTTATTCTCTGGGCATGAAGATCCCAAACGCAACATCTGACATGAATTACGTGAGCAGGTTTAGTCGATATTAACATAGATATATGCATTTACACAGATGCAATAGAGATTTTAGGCTTAACGCCATTAAAAAATCCAACAGGCAATGCCAATAAAGAAAAAGACATAAAATACTAAGTAATATAACCTAGTCAAAGTAAGATTTGTGTTATCAATGTGTAGATTTGCCCTTGACTGACCCGCCTTGGGCTCTAATAGGCGCATGGCCTGCTGTGCTGTTGGGGATTCTGGGAGTCTACTCTCAAGGAACAGATGCCAGGGCACAACAGCTGTTCATCTGGCATCGAACTAGAGCCAACTGGCCGGACCCTCTACCCAAGAACAAAAACATCAACATGTGTTACTAAAGCCTCACCCCCTCTTAACAGGACAGGCACACAAACCGGCATAAACACTGACAACACAAAAATGCAACACACTGGAGCTAATGATGGAAACAAAAATAAACACAGTGAATTAAAAGTGACATAAAACTTAATGACAACAGCTCCAAGAACCACATTTAATCACAGACACACAAAAACAATTCAAACACACCACTGTACACTCACCAAGAATAAAGTGAACCAAACACAACCCCCTAAATCCAATAGCAGAACTTGCATTTTCACAGCACAAGTACATATAAATATATTGATCACTTTTAATAAGTTGATCACTGGATAGTCTGTGACCTTTATTGTCACTGAAGTCCCCATTTCGAATGATTTTTGAAATGATGCAGCATATTTACACCTGATTCCACAAGTCATGTTATGTGCGTGCCACAGAGATAATGTACTCACCCTGGAAAGACTGTCTGGCTCTCTCCACTAGTTCCTCAATGGGATAACTGGCCAGGTCTCCTCTGGCATGCTTGGTCTTACAGTAAGTACAAGCATTCAGACACCTACACACAGAAACAGAAGGACAAAGAGAGAAATGAAGGGCTGTTTATTATATACTGGTAAAGGAAAGAATGAGACGAGAATGAAGATGACATGAGACTTCTAAATGAAATCTACTCGTACACATGGAGAAGGAAGCATGGAGTAAATACATCTCTCTCTCTCTCTCTGCTAAACTGTTTATAAGGACTCCAGCTTGCTCCTAAATAACCCTGGACAGCTGCTGTCTCACTCAGACCAAGACAAGCAGAGGCAAGATTAGACTCAATGTTTTTTGGTTTTGTTTTTGGACAAAGATTCATTCAAATTGATTTCGAAAGCAAAGGAGCACGAAAAATTTAAATTAGAAACAAAATATGAAGACGAAAAACAAGAAAAGATGCTTCACACCAGATCTACAAGCACTGCGTGTTATTCACTCTGGACTTTATTTAGGATGAAGGGGGCTTTTCTTCTAAAATCATTCTTGAGAAGAAGAAGAAAGGCCGCTGTTGAGAAGACTTTTGGTATTAACTCCATTAGGCTGGAATTTCTGACCTCCAATTTTTCATACTGTTGTAAAAATACACTGCAGTCATTCCTTCTCACTCATTATTTCACTTTTGGCCTGACATTTCTGGAGACAGTTGTTAGTTGCAGTTCTAACAACTGTAGAGGATTCTGCTGAGGGAACACAAGTTAATGCAATTACTTAAATTTATGTTTGCAGGGATTCAATTAAAGGAAAAATCTTCTTTCTCATCAAGTAAATAATATTTCACACATTGATCATGATTTATCATCCCTGTCTCCTCATGTGTTCCAGTGTGGGGCAAAAAAAAGTGAGCCTGCCACTCCACCCAAATTTAGGGGTTTGATTTTCTCTATAACTCAGCTGAGGGTGACTAATGCTGCCACATCAAGAGTTCAATTCAAAATGGAGCCACATGTAAAATAACAGTGATGCAAAGCACAAAAAAATTCCCATAAGAAGAACACAGCAAGCCAAGCGGTGTTTTTACTAAAAACTCCAATATAATAAACAGCATGATCATCTATTAACAGCACTGCTAATACAAGAACAAAGGGCCTTTTAAGTTAAGTGTCACAATGATGAAATTAGTTTAATGTGGGATTTATACACCCCACTGCAATAACAGAAACATCTTTGTAATGATTAATTACCTTCCAATGCTGTGATATAGGGAAGCTACTGTGAGACTGAATCAGACTGCTGCAGATAATGAGCGTAAACCCTGTATCTGTCCATGACAGACTCATGGAGGAATAAAAGGGATTCCCCTGAAGCTAAAACTGGTAAACAACACACGACTGCTGCTGGACTCAAGATACAGTTATTGTCATGTTCACATGAAGTGTGTGTAAGTTGCCTCGCAGAGATTCCATGTTAGTCAATAAGAGAACTTGGCTAAAGTTGAATCATTATACTTCACTGCTGCACTTACTATTCAAAATAAAATGTCTTTAGTCAAAGTACAGTCAAGTCATTTTGTTATATAGAGTTGTTCAATTTCATAAATGACACAATTGCCTAAAGGATTATACAATCAGTATGACATTCATCCATGATGAGTGTTGCTGCGGTAACAAAGAGTAGAAACAGAAATCAGATTGTTGTTCTTCGCTCTATGAGAAGTAGCGACACTACAGATCAACCATATTGACAACATTTGTACCGGGCTCCAGAGAGCGACCAACATGCAGACAAGATCTGTGAAGTGCAACTGAAAATGTTTTCTGTCAGTGAGACGGAGTCTACACTCACACTCACTCACACACAGACAAACAGGCAGTGAAGCACAGATGAGAGTTCGTCAAACTGTGGCAACAAAAAGTTTGAATACAGGGTTTCCACAATGGACCGCCAATGGAAAATGATTAGCGCCGCTGCTTCAGGATCAGAGGTGAAGCAGCGGTTGGTTTGTACCATGTCAGAGTCTCCTGTCTGTGTGTGCTCCCTCCAGAGCTCATCTAAATCATAACCGTCCTGTTAACTGAGCTGGTCACATGTACCCTGTGTCTAATGTTTAAAATGAAAATGTAAAACAAAATCCAGGATCCATCAGTTTATTTTTTTATTTTTTTATTACTCTAAAACTTGGGTTCTTCTTGACTTGTGGTCATGCTGCACCTCTTCACATCATTTCAATGAAATCTGTGCAGTAGTTTGGGAAATCCCTGACGAATAAATAAACGTCAATGAAAATATCATCTCCTGAGGGTGATTTGTAAAATAAAGAGAAACTGCAATACTGCAATATGACAGAAGTCCAATGTTGTCTACTGAGCAGATCTATTACTGAAGTCCTAACAAAGCAGCAATACCAAACTATGTAATCTATGAAAAAGGACTTATTTAAACAGGTCCTGTTTGGGGTTTGAAAAAACCTATAGGGTTCCAGTCCCTCTCCCCCCCCCCCCCATTTACCGGACCAGGCAACATCTCCATGAAGTACGCACTGAAACACCTCCAATATCTTTATAATCATTCTGAAACACATCTGAAACGCCAGGAGCATTTTTTAATGTCACCATGGAAAAAAATCAATCCATCTCTCGCTCTCAGGGTATTGCTTTATCCTAGTTGAGGGCACTAAAGATGGCAGCTAGGTCACAGGACCTCGCTGTGGAGAAAACACAGACAGATGGGGCCCTGCATGCGCGCACACAAACACACACACTTACACCACCAGGGGGTCCATCCATCTTAATGTGATCAGGCCCAGCTGAGTGGATCACACCAACATTAATCTCAAGAGACAGTCAGTGGCCAGTTGGGTGTGCGTGTGTGTGTGTGTGTGTGTGTGTGTGTGTATGTCTGCTGCTGCTGAACATTCATCCAGTATCACAACAACGCATTAGCAGTTTCGACCTCTCCATCAGCCTAAACAGACTGCGACAAGTAGTCAGCACCCTTAGACTAACACTGACTGAAGGAAAGGAGCAGTGTCACTCTCTCTGACACACACACATCTGCTGGAGGAGAGGGAAGAAAAGAAGGGAACAGAGGAGGGAAGAGAAGTTTTATCTTGATTTCATCCAGCAGCATGTAAAGAGTAGTTTAAACTAATGCAGCTCTTAATGACAAAACTTCAGTGATGTGACTGAAAAGGAGAAAAACAAATACTTCAAGAATAAAAAACCAAATGTTTCTCCACCTTATCAAGCCTTCTTTCTTTCTGTCCTCCCTCCCTCATGTTTCTTCCTAGTTAATTAAACCACAGAGGTAGCTGTTGTACCTGACAACAGTGTACTTCATCAATGTGTTACAATGAGACAGGCTAGCTCCCCAATGTGTGTGTGTGTGTGTGTGTGTGTGTGTGTGTGTGTAAGGAAGTGAGGGAGACTATTGTGTGGTTGCAGCCTTGAAAAGGTAACAAAGAAAGGAAAGCCCAGAGGTTTTTCTGTACATTTGTAAACCTCTCTCGACACAAACGCACACGCACACATCACACACACAGTATGATTCCCTTCGGAGAAGCTCCCATGTGCAGCTTGGGAGGGAGTTGAGTAGGAAAATGGTTTTCCCACTGATAAGCATTTAGGGTCTTCACATTAATTAGAAAATTGCTATGTGCATAAACAAATTGGGCCATGTGTGCATTAATGTGAGAGTGTGTGTGTGTGTGCATGGAGGTATGTATTCTGTCAGCTTGAAGATGCAATTATGAAAACAAAGCTTTAAACTGTTCAGGGAAGTCTGAGCGCTGTGTAAATTGTGAAGCCAGATTATTCATTGCACTCATTGTTGAGAGTGGGAGCCGGGTGGAGTATATGAGCAAAACAAAATCATAAAACTGCGATCATATGAGCGAACAATGTGCCAAGCCTGTAAGTTTACTATTAGCATCATCTCAAAGTCAAAGGCTGCAAAATAATGTGGAGTCAAGGAACAAAGAATAATGACACAAAGGAGCAGAGACCTATTAGGAGCAGAGAATAGAGGATGATTAGTTATTCAGAGAGAGGTTGGCAGCTAAATCCAGTTTAGTCTTAATATCACTGTCACAAGAGAGAAGCTGGTTGTATTCAAGTTGCAGGGGAACTTTGAATGCACACAAATTATCTTGTGGGACTTGGATAAAGACAATATTTCTTACATCTTACGTCGGGGGTTCTAATGTTTAACTGTAATCGGGATTTGGGATAAAACAAGTTTCAGTGCTTACAGCTTGTGGAGCTTCATTTTCCTGCATGGCACATAAATGAAAAGCAAATAAATGTGATGTTTTTAAGTAGAAACTGAGCTGCAGCAGTAAATAAAGGGAGTGAAAATACAGCTGTGAGAAAACTGCAGAGACCGTTTTCCCTTGTTTGTGGAAGTAATTAGATGATGCTGTGGTGAGTATGTGATGGGGGATGTCTCTGTGTACTAAAATCAATGCAAGTATGTCAGTACGTCATGTTTGTATTTGATTGATACCTCAAAATGGGCATTTGAAATACAGAATCTGACAATTTATGCTTAAACCCACACATTGTGTTTTATTACAAACAACAACGTAAGATGATGTTTTAAAGGCTTACAGGAGTTTAAAATTGAACTCACTGTTCACACTGTTTACACAGAAAAAGACTTGTTTTGAGCTTATTTTCAATAAGTTCTCACACCATTATTTCACATAGTATTGTTTTTGCATTTTTGTGTGTTGGATAAGTGTGTGGGTGTGCTTGTGAGTGTGTTTCGCCTTTCATCTGTGACTAGACCAGTGTGTGTCTGTGTGTGTGTGTGTGTCCCAATGCAGCTGGGGCCCATTTCTCTCAGTGTTCAATTCAGCCTTTGTGTCTGACCTCTTGAATTTTGTTATTTAGTCTCGTGTTCCCACTGCTGCACATTGAAACAGCTCTGTGTGTGTGTGTGTGTGTGTGTGTGTGTGTGTGTGTGTGTGTGTGTCACATGCTGACCTTAGACTTCAGTAACTACTACAGCAGCCTTGCTTGTTGTTTTGACTGGAGAGAGACGACACGTGCTTGTGTGTGAAACTACAGCCTCGAGGAGCCA